GCGTTGGGTTACCCAGCCCTCCACTTCTGTGATGGCCCCGTAATCAGACACATCTCCCAAGACTCGATAGGAAACCATTTGTTTTAGAGATCCTGCTTGATTCCACACTGACTAATTGGACCACTTGTTTTTTGTGGGGTTTTTTAGGATTTATTTTTATTTATGCATAGAAGAACAGGGTGTAGGCCAGAGTTCCAGGGGTGAGAGGATTCACCAGTGACAGAGTGCGGAGCAGAACAGGCAGACTGACTGAAACACACTGCTGAGGGGAGCAGCGGGGAGACAGGAGAGGTCTGCTGCGCTGTCGGTCAGCTCCCTGGCCGGGATGGAACTCGCAGCAGCTGCCGATAGCTTCGTAGTGCTGAGACTTAACCCCTTGCACCACCAGGGAGGCCCTGGACCACTTGTTTTTCCCCCTCTTGTGTTTGAAATCCCCACTCTTCTGTCTAAATTCACCCGAGTGAGCCAGAAAATGCCAGGACCCCACGCTCCACTAAGAAAAGCAGAGCCCACCTGTAGGGGGCAAGATGGGCCACTGAGCAGGTTTTCTGATCCGGCAGACGGGGAGAGTCCTGGAGCCCTCGTGGCTTTCTCAGGCTTTTATTGAGCTGTGACATATAGAGCAGCAACCAGGTCCACGGCAGGCAGGGGTGCCGGGGGGCCGGGAGGCTGGTAGGTCCCCAAGCCCCCGGCAAGTCTTCACTCTGGGCTTCTTTCTTGCTTCTGCTTCTCTTGGTGACGATCTCAATACTCCTGCCCTGGCCCACAGAAGTACACAAGACAGTTTGCAGCATGTGCAGATGCCCCATCAGGCAGGGCAATCTTAATGGTGGGAGGTCAGCCTGAAAAAACATTTACCCTACACCACCCTCGTGGGATCTCTGCCTCTGCTGGCTCCCCCTTGCTGCGTGGCCCATGTAATTTTCAGGTCCTATAGATAATACACCTTTTATTTTTCCAAGGTTCCTGATTTTTCATAAGTTTACTCTCAGATATTTCCTTTGCACATGTCAGCAAAGGATTTGCTGAAGGGCATCCCACAACCTTAACAAGAACCAGAAGGCTGGGCGGGTCACAGCATCAGCTGCTGAGAGCCTGGGACCTTTGCACACCAGCAGCCCAGCACAGTTCACAGTCCATAAACCACATGCGGCTTTTATACTTTTACCACATGTGAATGTTAACTGCACAAGGTCTTGTTTGCCTGTGGGGAGGGCTGGGGTGCCAAGGAAATCATCCTATACCCCTCTCTCTGGTTGACAAATACTCAAACGCGCATCAGGCAGATGGATTAGGTAAAAAGACAAAAGAAGAACAATGTGCCGACCTCCTGTGTACCTGGGAGAGAGCCAGCACGACTGGGTAACTGACCCACGTGCCTTCAGACAGGGTCTCAAACAGCTCAGCTGAGTCAGATGATTGTGGGGGGAGGTGTTATAGAGCAACCCCGATATTGAATGGGGTTCCTGGCTGTGGGTCCTCACCCGCGCGCTTACAAGGGACTTATGAATACTCCACTCCAGACACACGCAAAAGGGTTAATAAAAGGTTTATTTACAAGAGAAAAAGAAATAAGGAAAATGGACAACTCAGGGAGAAAATAGGGAAATAAAGTCTTTAATGCGTCCTACCCGATCCGACGACCTGGAAACCCAAAGTCACTCTCAGAGCTGGCCGGACGCTGCGAGCTGGCGGAGAGCCAAAATGGGGACCCCCCCAAAGCCCACGTGTCTGGCCTTATACCAACCTGGCTGCTTAACCCCACCCTCAGGTCCCAGCCACCTTCCCTTGGGTGGTGATGGGATGTGGAGTTCCCAGTGTCTTTGGCTTTGACCTGGGGTGGGGGTGGAGTCCACAAAGCCTATATGGAATTTGCTTTGGGACAGCCTTTTCCCCCTAACAGAGGGAGGGGTGGTCCCTTAGGGAGTTTACCAAGGAAGGCAGAGTAGACAAAGGCTGCAGATTTAAGTTCTGCCTTCTCTAGAAAAAGAAATTAGGTTTTCCTACTGTAGGCCCTTCCAGAAGGTAATTTGTAGGTAAATATCTTTCGAAAGCAACGTCCATCCAGGGCTCAGAGCCCCTCCCATAAATTAGCCTTTTGCCTAAGACACATTTTGGGGTGGCAGATTCCTGGTCCCCTAAAGGCAGGCAGCTGAGACAGGAGAATAGGAAGTGTTATAGGACAGGGAGAGGGGCAGCCCAAACCCCCGCAAACCTGCCTATTCTAAATGGGTTCTGCCATCCGCCGCATCAACACAAAACATAGGACACTTTAATGGGAAGGAACTTTAATAAAACTAGGAAACAATACAGGTAAGGCAAAGAGTCTGTTATAGAGCAACCCCGATATTAAACGGGTTCCTGGCTGTGGGTCCTCACCCGCGCGCTTTAAAGGGACTTATGAATACTCCACTACAGACACACGCAAAAGGGTTAATAAAAGGTTTATTTACAAGAGAAAAAGAAATAAGGAAAATGGACAACTCAGGGAGAAAATAGGGAAATAAAGTCTTTCATGCGTCCTACCCGATCCGACGACCTGGAAACCCAAAGTCACTCTCAGAGCTGGCCGGACGCTGCGAGCTGGCCGAGAGCCAAAAATGGGGGACCCCCAAAGCCCAAGTGTCTGCCTTTTGTATCCACCTGGCTGCTGAACCCCACCCTCAGGTCCCAGCCACCTTCCCTATGGTGGTGATGGGATGTGGAGTTCCCAGTGTCTTTGGCTTTGGCCTGGGGTGGGGGTGGAGTCCACAAAGCCTATATGGAATTTGCTTTGGGACAGCCTTTTCCCCCTAACAGAAGGATTCTCAGACTATGTTCATTTTATCTACAATGTTTAAATGCTTGAGCTGAGTGGTGAGCAAATAAATGTCTGTTTTACTATCACGTCTAGTGAAAGGTTGGGCGCGGTAAAGGAAAGGAAGTTTCTCAGAGGGAGGGAAAGTTCATTGTGCCCTGGGCGAACCTCACGCACCCAAGGTGGGGGTCAGTGAAGCCGCGCGCGCACGTTGTCAGGGGGACGCAGGGTTTTATAGGGTGAGGAGGGATCAGGTGGGAAGTTGGGTTCGTATGGCGGGAAAAGTTTGTAGGGCGCGAAAAGGTTCGTGGGGCAGGGGGGAGGCTCATTGTCTGAGTCCTCCAGGCAGGTATCTGCATTCCTGCCCCCCAGGTGGGCTTCCTGGTAGGCTTTTGCATTCCGGCCTCCTGCATGTGTAACAGGGTGGTCCCCAGGAAAGGGGGAGGTTCCCTACCCCACCCAAGGGAGGGTGGAGCTGAGCAGGGAGAGGAGAAGCTGCAGAAGAGACTGAGGAAGGAAGCAGGATGGAGCCAGGAGACCTGGAGGAGGCGCATAGAGCCTAGAGACACGTGAAGAAACTGCGCTTGTCTTTTGGTCGTGGACTGGGTGACACAGATGTGGGTGAGACCCGTGGGGAGGTGACCATGGCAGCTTTTATCTTGATGTTGATTTTGCTCTTTTCCTTCCGGGCTTGTCTGGTTGTTTCTGACCCTTTTCTGTGGTTCCCCACTGGAAGATGCTTTAGACTTGTGGCAGGCTTTGGGGCCTTGCTCTGGGCCGATCCCATATGGATGGACTTTTACCCACGAGGGGACGGGTAACTGTGGGTGCTTCATTTAGAAACTAGACTCTTTGCCTTACCTGTATTGTTTCCTAGTTTTATTAAAGTTCCTTCCCATTAAAAAGTCTCATGTTTCGTGTTGATGCGGCGGATGGCAGAACCCACTTAGTATAGGCAGGTTTGCGGGGTTTGGGCTGCCCCTCTCCCTGTCCTATAACACATGGACCTTTCATCTAGATTTGGGGGTACCTGAAAATAGCTGAGGCTGTGCACAGTGCGTAGATGAGAGGCTGTGAGTGAGGAGGGGGACGCAGGTGTGCGCCTGGTTTGTTCCCCTGTTGGCTGTAATGGCAGCAGAGAAAGGCTGGCACCTGGCTGAGCTCTTGGAGTCCAGGAAGTAACTGAGAAACAATCTTTGCAAAGGAGTTTTCTATTTGCAACGGAGTTTTCTATTTATGCCCCAAAAGAGAACAGTTTCGTTTCTTAAGGAAATGAAACTTATCCCTCGGTCTGCCTGCAGCGCTGGGGGGCGGTGTGTCGCTCTGCTGCAGCTGCTTTAGCCTGGCTCCGCAGACAACAGGATCAGACCACAGGCGAGACAGCGGGGTCGCTTCCACATTCAGACTCTGCTTCTCCTGGTAAGATGGCGGTGCGGGGTGGGCTGGGGCTGCTTCTTCCTGCAGCCCCAGCTGGGAGGCGGGTAGGGAGCTGTGCTCAGTGAGCTCTGGGAAGCCACAGACTGTTCTTTTGTTTCTCCTGGGGGCACTGTGATAAGAGGACAGGGGCTTCCCGAAGGAAGGGACTCTGGCTCCCAACGGCCCCAGCTCAGGGACTCTGGAACTAGGAACCTGTCCTTGCTGCACTTTCCTTTAGTCCTACAGGCAGGTACGGTCGGGAGAGGCTGAGGGAAGCAGCAAACGGAGGAGGAGCCCAGTGAGAGCCCTCACAGCCTGCCCTCCAGCCCTGGCAGGGAAACGTTGACCTCCGTGAGTCACTTCCCATTTATTGATCAGCTGTAAAATGCTTCCCTGATCTCTTCCTGTATTAATGAGGCAAGTCCATGAGAGCAGGAACTCAGGGCATCCTGACTCAGTGTTGGGGTGCAGTGACTTCAGTTGTGGGGCTGACAAGGGCTGCTTCCATGAAGCCTCTCTGAGGTGGGTGAGTCAGCAATAAATGAAGCACATGCTTTGCAAACAGAAAGTGTAACAGGGTGGTCCCCAGGAAAGGGGGAGGTTCCCTGCCCCACCCAAGGGAGGGTGGAGCTGAGCAGCAAGAGAAGAAGCTGCAGAAGAGACTGAGGAAGGAAGCAGGATGGGGCAAGGAGACCTGGAGGAGGCACATGGAGCCTAGAGACATGTGAAGAAACTGCGCTTGTCTTTTGGTCGTGGACTGGGTGACACAGATGTGGGTGAGACCCGTGGGGAGGTGACAATGGCAGCTTTTATCTGGATGTTGATTTTGCTCTTTTCCTTCCGGGCTTGTCCGGTTGTTTGTGACCCTTTTCTGTGGGTCCCCACTGGAAGATGCTTTAGACTTGTGGCAGGCTTTGGGGCCTTGCTCTGGGCCGACCCCATATGGATGGAGTTTTACCCACGAGGGGATGGGTAACTTTGGGTGCTTCATTTAGAAACTAGACTCTTTGCCTTACCTGTATTGTTTCCTAGTTTTTATTAAAGTTCCTTCCCATTAAAGCGTCATATGTTTTGTGTTGATGCGGCGGATGGCAGAACCCATTTAGAATAGGCAGGTTTGTGGGGGTCTGGGGTGCCCCTCTCCCTGTCCTATAACAGATTTGGCAGAACCCATTTAGAATAGGCAGGTTTGCGGGGTTTGGGCTGCCCCTCTCCCTGTCCTATAACAAAAGCAGCCTTCAGGCTCCGGGTATAGCTCCGGCTCTAGCTCCAGCTCTGGCTTTATCCCTGGCACCGGGACCCTGGCATTGCCTTTACTACACGGAGGCAAGCAAAACCTAGTGAGTTTACTAGAAAATCAGGCCCCAGGACGCTAGCCCCCTACAGCCTGGGAAAACGGTGAGGATGCTGAGGCTCCCTAAGAGCATTTTAGTTGAATGTGCCAGGAAAAGCTTTTCTAGAGTCCAGCAGGTGAGGGGTTAAAGCATCTCTCTGATTTCCTCTGTGCCTGGAGGAGAAGAGAGCTGTCACAGTTCCCCCATCTGTTTATCTTCCTGGGAGTCTGGTTGGCCAGGACCCCGCTTGACCTGGCCAGTCCATTTCTGCCTGAATTCTTCGGCTTGCACCCCTGACTTGAAGCTGTTAGGGGAAAGGCTGTCCTAAAGCTAATTCCATACAGGCTTTGTGGACGCCACCCCCACCCCAGGCCAAACAAAGCCAAAGACACTGGGAACTCCAAATCCCATCCACACCCAAGGGAAGGTGGCTGGGACCTGAGGGTGGGGTTCAGCAGCCAGGTTGGTATGAAGGCAGACACGTGGGCTTTGGGGGGGATCCCCCATTTTGGCTCTCCGCCATCTCGCAGCGTCCGGCCAGCTCTGAGAGTGCCTTTGGGTTTCCAGGTCAGCGGATCAGGTAGGACACATGAAAGACTTTATGCCACTCTGAGATGGTGGGAAGCACGGAGGGTGGAGGCGGCCGGGCGGTGAGGGGTATTGGGGACCTGGCCAGGTGCTCACAGGTGCCATGACTCTGGCAGCACCTGGGCTGGGGAGGAGAGAAGAATGTCTGTCTCCCAGTGCCCTCCCTCCTTCCTCCTGAGCTCTCAAGCAGCTTCCTGACACCCCCGTGTCAGCCTAAACACCCACAGGGCACTTCTCAAAGCACTGGGCCAGGAGGCTCAAAACACAGAGGCGTCCCGCTCCGATTTCTGTGGTCACAACATGGCCGCCGCCGTCCCATGAAACCCACAGAGTCCGGAGGCGGGGCCTGCTGCTGTAAAGAATGGGCTTCCTGCCGGCAGAGGACACTGGCCCACTTTGTGGGTGCTTCCCAGAGAATTTCAGCCCTAGTCAGCTCCCTGCCACTGCTTTCTCCGCCTGCCTCCTCCAGCTACTGGCCAGAGCTCAAGGATTAAAATGACTTCCCTGATAAATCAAACAATTTCAAATTGATGCAGGGCCAGGAGTGGGGAGGGGAACAGTTCCCTCCTCCTCCACCCAGACTTTGTGTGTCTTTGGTAAACAGGCATTTTCTAGAGGAAAAGGCAACTAAGAAGGAACAGTTTTCCAGCTGAAGAGGCTGCTGGCTTTCCTGACACGTTGCACTGACTTAGAGACTGTCCAGCACTGATTTACCCTCCAATGCCCTTGGCACTCAGCCAGGCCTGGGCAGCTGGATGGGTCACCCCAAAGCTGAGCTGTGTTCTCTGCTGGGATTCCCACAGGTCTGGGCCTGTCTAGGGCCTGACAGGTGGGTCTTCCTGGCACAGACTGGAGCCCCTGTTGAGCCTCATCTTAAGGAAGTACATGGCTCAGGCCTAAAGAGCAGGTGCCCAGAACTATCTGATAGGCTGATTCTGTGCTTTCTCAGGCTCAGCCCTGTGGGCTCCCGAGAACAGGATAGGGAGAGGGATATTTCTTAGGCAAAGGCCCCAACACAAGGATTGTAAGCAATGAGCAAGTGACTCACTGGGGAGGTGTCCTCAGGAGCCTCAACAAGGGAAGGGGAGAGAAGGAAAGGCAGGAACTGAGAAGGACCCAAACTCAAGAGGGGGTTTGTCCCTAGAAACTGAGGCTCCAGCCCCCGGGGGACCTCCAGGGGACTGTGGACAGGCCTCAGGGCTGCCCACCTGAGGGGGATTTATCCCCCAATGCCCATCTACTACTGGGTGGGGTACCCACACTGACACCTCCAGCCTGCTTTGCAGTTGTCTGGTGGTTGGGGGGTATGGGGGCTGGCTTAGGGCAGTAGGCAGGTATGCCCCAGGAGAGGGGCCAGCTCCACGCTTGTGCTGAGCGCTCACAGCAGGTGAGAGTGCAGTTGGCATGGAGACCCAGCATGCAGGGCAGATCAGGAGAATGGTAAGTTCCCAATACCTGCCCTTACAGACACTTAACTGCCTGTCCTTAGCAAAGGAACCGGCACCCCACCTTCAGAGACAGCCACCCTTGAAATGAACCTGTGACAAAGCAGACCAGACCCCTTTTGGGGTTTCAGGTCTTTGCTCCCTATAAGATACAGCCATGTTTATCCTGGGGAGTCGCCTGCACTCGAGGTTCAGTCTCATGGGGCGGAGCTGGGTTTGAGCTGTGGTTGCTATGGTTACCTTCCCTGCAGAGCCATTTTCAAACCTGCTGGTCCCTCCTCCATCACACTTCTGTTTCCCAGGTGCATGCCGGCGGGTTACCTGCACAGCTGCTCCACCCATGGTGTACACCTGTGCTGCTCTCACCTGCTCACCTCCCCTGCAGTGGGGAGGGGCGGGGGGCCATGGGGTTCTCTGGGGCTTCCCCAATCTCGGTCTTGGTGTGCCCTTTGTGCTTGGACCTGGGAAGTGGGTTTTTCACCATAGCCTTCCCCGGGTCTCTCTAGGGGTCCAGGAAGTTTGGCCTCGCCTTTGGAGTCAGTTTCTTTCATTTTCTTGCCAGTTACCGTGAATTCCCCTGTGTTCTAGGGGTCCAGGGTTTCCTGCCCTTCACCACAGAGTGAGGTTTTGTTCCCAGGGGAGAAGGAAGCTTGGGCCTCTGTTCCCAGCTCCAGTCTTGCTTCAGTGAGGGAAGTTTTCTCTGAGTTCATGCCTGGACTCCAATTTCTTGGGATTACCCAGGCATTGGAGAAAATCTGCAGGCTGGCATGGCCCCTCCTGCGCTCCATGGTCCTGCAACTGACCATCCATGTGATCCCCTCTGCTTGTTTTCCAGGTGAGGACGCCCTTCCCGGTCATCCTACAACCCACTTGAAGACAATGGCAGGTAACTGGTTCCTGGGCTTGCAAATCCACAGACCTCACCCACCCCCAGTGCTGCTCAACCGTCTGGGTTGTTGGTATTGAGGACACATCCCTGATGGAATCAGTAGGTACCTTCCTGTCAGAAAAGGGGTGCGTGTACCCTGGAGAAGAGTGAGCAAATGATGCTTTAGGACAGGAGGAACCGTGCTGCGGGTCCCAGGTCTGCCCCCCAACGGGCTGGTGACCCAGACCCACCAGCTGCCCTCTCTGGGTCTCCCTTGCCTTGTTTATCTAAGGGCAGCAGAGGGAGGATTGGCCCACTCTGGGGGCCCAGCACCAGGGCACATCAGAATAAGTGCGCAGACCCTTCACCCCTCCTGGCCTCTTCCCCAAGCCCTGCAGGCTCAGCTCCCGGTCAGGCAGGGGCACAGGCTCGGCGGGCTGGTTGCCAGTGAGAGTCCAGTGGCCACACCCTGAGCTGCTGGCTGCAGTCCGCAGGCCTGGGCAAGTTTCGATTCTCAGGTTGGGCTCCACCCCCTGCACCTGGGAGCCTCCAGGCCAGGTCTCGTCCCAGGCTCTGGGCGGGCCGTGCAGTGTCCACTCTGAAGCGGGGCTGCCCGGGCTCAGGCAACAGGGACATGCTCATTTTAATGTGGCCAAATACAAGGAACTACAGAGACCCAGAGCAGGGACTCTTGCTCTTCAGGGTGGGAAGAGGATTGGGAGGGGCTGTAGGAAGCCAGAGGCGCCAGAGGAGGCCAGAGTGCAGGGAGCTGACCACATCTCCTGGCTGCTCCCCAGCGCTCCTGCTCCTTATTGGCGGCCTTGTTGCTTGTTGCTGGGCAGGCTCAGAGCAGACAGCTTCCTGCTCTGGGTGGAGGACACGCCCTCCCGCTGGGCCTGCAGGCAAGGCAAGTGCTGCATGCACCTGCCTGCATGAGAGCGCCCTGCCCAGGCCTTCCTGCTCTAGGTCACTTGTGGTTCCCTTGGCTGGTTTCCGCTGGCTGCTAAGTGGTCAGCATCAGGGCACAGGAAATGGCTTCCACTCAGTGCCCAGGGGCCAAGCACAGCAGGGAGCTTGGGGAGGGACTCACAAGCCAGACCACTGGCCCTTTGTTAAAGCACTTGGGCTCTGGACTGTGGGCACAGAGGGGCTGCTCCCCAGGAGGCCCCAGGGGAGAGCCAGTGCTGTGCTCTTTCTAGTTCCCAGGGGCTGCCGGCGTCCTGGCTGTTCCCTGGCTGGTGGCGCCATCACTGCCCTCTGTCTTCCTTGTCTCCCGGGTGTCTCTGGGCCTCCAATCCCTTTCCCTCTTGGGAATAGGACAGCGGTCCTATGGGGGGACTCGGGCCCCCCATGTCAGCATTGTCATCCCCACTTAATGCTAATTGCCTCTGGAAAGACGCTATTAGCCAATGAGGTCGCATTCATTGAAGCAGGCTGAGGACTGAGCGTGTCTTTGGGAGACACAAGGTCACCCACGACAGAGCGGCCTTGAGGAAGAGGAGTCACCCCGTGTCAGGTCAGCTGAGAGCGAGTAAGGGGAAGACTGAGCGGGGTGCTCCGAAGGGCTTCGCAGGGTTGGGGCGTCTTGGTGAGCCCCTTTCATGAGGACAAGGACAGGGAGGGCGGTCGTGGTCTGCAGGGAGAAGAGGCGGTGATGGGGACTGTGCACGTGTCCTGAGTTCTTACTCACATCCTGTTCTTCCAACAAGTCCCCTCACCTGTGAGGGGCACACTGACGTCGCCTTGCACATTGAGGGGGACCAGGGCAGGTGGATTGTTGCTCGGGGTCCCACAGCTCTGGGGTGTGGGTGCCCAACCACCCTGCTACTGCCCCTGCCTGAACTAGCGCCAGGAGCTTGGCCCCGAGGAGCAGAGAGCCGGGCAGCGGGCGGAGGGGGACGGGGTGTGGGGGGAGGCGCCTTCACTCTGGAGGCGGGTGGTGGGTCAGGTGGGAGGCAGAGTGGTCTCCAAGGACAGGGAGACGGTGGTGGGCAGAAGCCAGGGGGAGCGGGCAGGAGCCACGGTGTGAGCAGGGAGCAGCGGGGCTGAGCCGCGTGGGCAGAGCAGGCGCCTGTCAGTGCAGAAGCAGGAGGGCCGGGGAGCGAGGGGCAGGGGCAGGGGAGGATAAGCCTGGGGTGGGCTCCCCGGAAGGTCTCCCCAGGTTGCCTTCATTTCCTTAGAGAAATGGGAAGTGAGGGCTGGTGGGAGGAGGCTGAAGGGCAGAGGAAGGTGTGAGGTCAGGGGGCCCTTGGAGAGGGTGTGGTGAGAACAGAGATGGGAGGGGATGGAGGAGCCCCAGGGCGGAGCAGGAGGGGCAGGGCTGGGAGGGCACTTGTGCTCAGTGGGTGTGGAAGCTGATGGTGAGTAGGGTGGGGAGCACGTGGATGAGGGAGGGCCGTAGATGAGGGAGGGCCGTGTGGCGGGTTATAACGTGACCTCCTGGAAAGACGCAACCAGCCTTCAGCCCAAACCTGGGCCGGAGCCATTCTGCGTGTGAAAGGTTCGGCAGGGAAAGACGAGGACGACTGAATACCTTTATAAGGGGGCTTTATTGCGTCCCCGGGTGTAGGGTAAGGTAAAGCATCAGGCTTTCCTGCCCTCCCGCCGTTAGGCTAGATGACGGAACCTAGTGGTCCCAAATGCATGCCTGCTGGCGGCACCTGGAGCGGGGTGTGGGCCCAGGTAGATGGGATTCACCTGGGCTGAGACTGGGCTTTTAAGGGCGGCGTCACGGGGACGCCAGCAGAAGCCGAGAAGAAGCAGAACGAACGGAAGAGCAGAGAAGCAGAGACCACCGGAGAAGGCCAGAAAGCCCAGACAGAGTGAAGACTTGCTGGGGGCCGGGAGGCCTGCCAGCCTCCCGGCCCCCCAGCCCCCCTGTCTGCTTTGTACTAGGTAAATCCCAATGAAAAGCCTGCAAAACCCACCGAGGACTCTGACTCCTCCTTTACCCGGTCTGCTGGGTCACAGAAAACCTGCTCCGTGTCCATTCCTGACCCTACACCGGGCGAACTTCACGGACCCAAGGAGGGAGTCGGTGAGCGGAGCCTACTGTCAGGGGAAGGCAGGTTTTTATCGGATGGGGAGCGGGAAACCGGCTAGCAGGTAACGAGGAACAGTTGTTTTCTGGTGGGATCAGCAGGTCCTCATTCTCGCCCCTGGGTGGGCTTCCTACCAGATGCCTTTTCGCCCTAGTAACTCTGGTTCCCGCCAGACTTTTCACATCGTCCAGGTGTCTCTGCCTGGTGCTGCCAGGGCTCTGGCCTCACGCAGGACACTAAGATGAGGCAGGGTGAGGTCTGGGGGCAACTAGGGGTGCCTCGCACAGAGGGTGATATGTAGGTGTAAAGGCAGGATGGGGCACAGGGCGGGTTTTCTGATCCAGCAGACTAGGGTAAGGGAGGAGTCATAGTCCTGGAGCCCTCACTGGCTTTTGCAGGCTTTTATTGGGATTTCCCAGGCACACAGCAGGCAGGGGTGCTGGGGGGACCTGCCAGCCTCCCAGCCCTCAGCAAGTCTTCACTCTGTCTGGGCTCTCCGGCCTTCTCTCGCGTTCTCTCTGCTTCTCTCCTTCCTTGGTTCTCTGCTTCCCTTCTGCTGGCGTCCCCGTGACGCTGCCCTTAAAAGCCCAGTTGTAGCCCAGGTGAATCCCGTCTACCTATGCCCACACCCTACTCCAGCTACCGCCCTCAGGCATGCATTCGGGACCGCAAGTGTCCGTCATCTAGACTAATGGTGGGAGGGCAGAAAAGCCTGATGCTTTTACCTGACCCTACAGTAGGTGAGCCTGGAGCGCCGGGGCTGTCACTGCAGCCTGTGTTCTGGGATGGGGATAGAAAAAAGGGAGAGAACACAAAGTTTCGCTTATTTCATCAGAAATAGGAACATGATGACCTCTCCTGCCGCCCGCTGCTCCCCTCAGCAGTGTATTTCCGTTGTCTGCCTGTTCTGCTCCCTGCTCTGGCTCTGGTGAATCCTCTCACCCTCCAGCGCTTCTGACTGTACCCAGTGCTTGTATAAATAAATCTTAAAAAAAAAAAAAATAGGAACATGCTTTTCTTGCAGTAAAAATAAAATTTTGAAAGAACACTAACACTATCAATGCATATGAGTCTGTGGAAAACCACATGGTCTTTAACTGTTCTTCATCCACTCTACATTCTTAGTGTGTCAGACTTCTCTGGAAAACAGGATGAGCTCAGGCAGGGAGATTCTCCCTTCTGATTCCATGGAGAGAACCCTCCCCACGGTGGGCAGGATCTGGGATGCAGAGGGTGTGATGTGCAGTGTTCACGGGTGTTCTTTTTTCCACAGATATCTTTGGATACGTGATTGGAGGAGGTGAGTCTCTTTGGGAAGGAGCTCAAATCCCATCTGCTTGGGCCCTGAGCTGCTGCTTCTCAGAACTGCTTTGCAAACCCTGGAAACTCATCCACTAAACTCGGAGTTCCCAGCTGGAGTATAGACCAGGGTCCCCAATTCAGCGCCAATTCAGCAGAGTTCCAGGAAAGAACTCACTGCTGTCACCTGGCCACATGCCAAGTGCTCACAGCCCATGTGGCCGCCATGCTGGACCATGCAGAGACGGAACCTTCCATGGCGCCCCCATGGAGCAAGACTGCCCTGCTCTGGAGAGGGAGGGCGCCCTGGGGACCCCACCTGCTGCAGCAGGGCCTGGGGGCAGAGGGCGGCCCCACCCACCACCTGCACAGGGAGGCGCTCTGGGGTTCTCTGCTGTCCCCCTATGTTTGGGGCAGGACGCTTCTGTGCTTACAGGGGGTTTGGGAGGCCTCTGCTTCTTCAGCTGCATGTATTTGTCACCAGGGGCCCTGAGGCCCAGGAAGGAGAGGGGAGCTCTCCGGTGTCCCAGGAAAATAGGGGCAGGGAAGGGGCATTGGGGTCTAGCTTCTCGTGGTGCCCACCTAGTGGAGGTTTCCAGGTCCACAGCCGTCCTGTGCCCGGGCTCTGTCCTCACAGAACCTGGAAGAACCCCACCCCGACCCCATCGGTGTCAGGCACATGAGGGGCTGTCTGTTCCACTGGGTCAACCTACAGGTTCTTTTCTCCACAGTTGCGGCGGTGGTGGCTGCACCCGTGGTGCTGGGCGCCGTGGGCTTCACGGGGGCAGGAATCGCCGCCGGCTCTGTGGCGGCCAAGATGATGTCAGCCGCGGCCATCGCCAACGGGGGCGGCGTGGCGGCCGGCAGCCTGGTGGCCACTCTGCAGTCCGCAGGTCAGTGTCCTGGCAGCAGAAGGAGAGGGAGGCCCACCTGTGCCCCCCCGCCCTGTCTTCAGCGTCCCCGCCCCACCCCTCCCCGGCCTGGCGTGGAGGTGTGGGTGTCTGGGCCCCGGGTGAGCCGGGAGGTCGCCTTCTGGACAAAACCCAGAACTTCTGGGCAGGTCCCGCCCTCTGGGGGCTCAGCCTCTCCGGGGAAGGCGAGGCAGCGGCCATCTCCCGCAGGTGCGCCTGTCCCAGGGGGCTCCCCGCAGAGTGGATGCCGCTCTTTGGGGAGCTCCTGCAGCAGCCTGTCCCCTCAGCAGATGCAGGGGTGCAGGGAGCAGAGCAGGGAGTCACCTGGGGGCATTTGTGGGTTCTTGGGCTTCCTGGGGGCCAGGTAACTTAACTCCACTCCTGAGACCGTAACTTGAGGTCTCCTGTTCCCTTCTGCTCACACCGCTCCTCTCCCCAGGGGCTGCGGGGCTCTCTGCCTCATCTAACGCTTTGCTGGGTGCTGCCGGCTCAGCCATGGGGGGCTGGCTGTGCGGGTCTGACGACTGAGGCCCTTCCTCCCTTGGCCATGGAGCCCACATGAGCCACGCGGGCTCCACAGTGCAGCTGACACGCCAGCGTCTCACAGGGGCCACCCCAAAACACAGCTGTGGCATATCCAAAGTTGTTCCAAGAAGAATGAGAAATAAAGACGAGCGGCCGAGACCCTCCACGAGCGTGGTGCTGTGTCGGCGCGTGGGCTGGCGGTGGGGGGTGCTCGCGGGCGGTGCCGGGCAGGGCCTCGCCGGGAAGGAGCGTGGGAGCTGTGACAGCAGCCGGCTCTGTTCGCAGCCTCCCACTCCCGTCTGGCCTGGGAAGGCCCCATCCTCCGCACCCAGGATTCGGGGTCTGCTTCAGGACCTGGAAGTCACAGCGCTGCGTCTGCTGCCGGGGGGCCCTTCCCCCTGGGATCAGGCTGCCTCTATCCAGGGCCTCTGCCCTCCTTGGCTCAGAGCAGGACATCAGCCCCCCAACCCCCACCCGGAACTGGACAGGCCCTGCGGGAGGGACAGGTCACCTCCTGGTCACGGGGCTCCCAGAGGTGACCAATGCGGGCCCCTCACTTCCAGAGGCCCCAGTGTGCCCTTCCCTGGGCCAGCTGCCAGGTGTCCTGCCCATGTGCCACCTGCCTGGAAAGGCGTGTCAGCCACCCCAGCTCCGGGACGCCTTCCCCCTTCAGACCGGGGCTGGGACTGCAACAGGGTGGTCCCCAGGAAAGGGGGAGGTTCCCTGCCCCACCCAAGGGAGGGTGGAGCTGAGCAGCAAGAGAAGAAGCTGCAGAAGAGACTGAGGAAGGAAGGAAGCAGGATGGAGCCAGGAGACCTGGAAGAGGCGCATGGAGCCTAGAGACACGTGAAGAAACTGCACTTGTCTTTTGGTCGTGGACTAGGTGACACAGATGTGGGTGAGACCCGTGGGGAGGTGACAATGGCAGCTTTTATCTTGATGTTGATTCTGCTCTTTTCCTTCCGGGCTTGTCCGGTTGTTTGTGACCCTTTTCTGTGGGTCCCCACTGGAAGATGCTTTAGACTTGTGGCAGGCCTTGGGGCCTTGTTCTGGGCCGATCCCATTTGGATGGACTTTTACCCACGAGGGGACGGGTAACTTTGGGTTCTTGATTTAGAAACTAGACTCTTTGCCTTACCTGTATTGTTTCCTAGTTTTATTAAAGTTCCTTCCCATTAAAGTCTCATATGTTTTGTGTTGATGCGGCGGATGGCAGAACCCATTTAGAATAGGCAGGTTTGCGGGGTTTGGGCTGCCCCTCTCCCTGTCCTATAACAGGACCACGGCCTATGGGTTGCAGGCCCTCGGGCCAGGTCCCCACTCTGGCCTGTGTGTGCTTCGTGTCTGTGCTTCCTTCCTGTCCCTCCCCCAACAGCCTCTCTCCCTGGGACCCTGCCTCAGTGTCCCCCGACTCCCAGCTGCCCTCAGGGCTCTACCCAGGGCCAGTGGCCCCCGTGGACCCGACAGGTCCTCTCTGCTGGGTGGGCATTGTTGGGGCCTAGGAAGCTCACAGGTGACAGTGTTAGGATCTTGCTCAATGAGAGTAGGGAGCACATGCTCACCCTTCCGGTCCCTCATTCCCCACCCTGTGCCCCACAGCTCCTCCCCCCAAGAGTGCAGCTGGTTTCCTCCCCTGGCATCTGGCTGGGCTGCTGGATGAGAGTCGTGCAACGGGCACCGTGTCACCCACCTGTTCCTGGGGGGCCCGGACAGGCTCTGGGTGAGCTCACATCTGGAGAGCTGGCCCAGGGCTGCCTGTGGACGTGACAGGGCGCCTGCTGGGCCCAAACCTCCTCCTGAACTGCTGGCCTTAGTGCATTTTAAGTCCCTCGTTTTGAAGATGTCACCCCCTTCTCCCCAAGTGATACGGTCACACCCTGAGTGCGGCACTTTCACAGGGTCGGCTGCACCACCTGCAGGACAGGAAGGAAGAGATCAGTCTAGTTGCTGCTGCTTTAACCCCAGCTGAACAGGAAGCAGGTACCCCTGGCCCCGTCCCTATAAGGAGTGCGCCCGAGTCTCGACTCAGTGGGTCTGGCCCTGAAGGAAATGGGCCCAGGGAAACGTGTGCTTGTGACCAAGTGAGCGTGTGGAACCCGCTGCCTGGGACAGAGCAGTCACTTCTGAATGTTGACGCCCAGAGGTGACATGGCAGGACCCCCAGGCCCCAGACGCTGTTGTAAATAATCAGGGTCCTTGGAACAGGCTTCTTTGCCCCTCAACACGTAGACAACATCAGGTTAGCACGTTAACTCGACCCCTGCCCACTTTCTTTGCAAAGCTCCTGGAACTATTTCTCCTTGCAAACTGCATAATCCTCTCAAGAAGCTGGGCTCTCAGGCTGCTTTCCCACAGCTCTCTGGAGGCTGTTTCTGCCTTGATTCTTGAATAAACTCACTGTGTTGGCTTCAATTTATTTAAGCCAACACTCTGGAAGACATCCTGGAGGAGGTGTCTTTTACTTAAGGATTATGCATTTCCTAGTCCTGGAAACTTGATAATCACTGGCTCAGAAGCAAGGGTTGTCTTTCCCTACTGAACTGAAATGAGCCAAAGCAGTGAGCTCCAGGCAAGGTTGACTCAGCAGCTACACACATGGGCTCAGCCATGGGCCTGTTTCACCCGCTCCCCTCTGCTTTCTGAGGTTTCAGCTTCATTCCCTGGCTGAGACTTTCTGGGATACGACATGGCTGTAAAGGTTCTGGAGCCTATCTGCTTCTTCACTATGCACCCCCCCTCCAATAGTATTTTTCCATGAACCTTCTGATAAAGAACAAGTACCTCTGGTGACTGTTCCTGGCGTGTCTGAACTGGAGTCATCTATTCATCATCTTAAGCCTTGACTTGGACAAGGGATGGGAGAGGATGCTGGGTCAGTCATCTTGGCTCATCTGGAGCCTGGCAAGAGAGCCAGGTCGCTGACAAACCCAGGTGAGTGTCCAGATCCTGAAAGAGAAGGTTCTTATTTCAAAGACAGTGATACTGACTGGCCAACACTCACTGGCCAAGCCAATGACAGGGCTCTTCACACAGCTCAGGGATGTCCTCTAAGGGCAGGTTGCCCGGGCCTCCTTGGTCTTATGGGTGTAACCAGAGCCATGCCTGGCCAGGCACACTGCCCTTCCATCATTTTACAGCCCTCCGACTGCTTCAGCAGTGAGGGAAAAGCACGATGGGTATGAAAGAAGTGCAACAGATGTCTCGTCTTTTTAATTTTATAAAATGGAATTATGTTAGTCCCTAATGAAATCCACATTCCCTTATTCTTATTTTTAATATACATTATATTTATTATTAAAATATAATACCATAATTATTTTATATTTAAATTGTATTTATTATTTAGGAATCCATCCTAGGTGGTGTTGTTTTCAATAGTACGAATAAAGCTCGAGTGCTTTTGGATCAGATAATCTCCTCCTCCATTATCACAGTCCCTCCATGACCCCCAGACCCTTTTGTTTTAGACTCTTGTTTGCTTCCCCTACTGACCATTTACATCACTTGATTTTTCTCTTCTTATGCTTTAAATTCCTGCTCTTATGTTTTGCTACATCAGTAATGAGTTCACAAAGTATTAGGCCTCCACCCTCAACCCTAATAAGCAGAATGTACCTTGTGGGTGTGTGGACTGGCATGACAATGGCAGGAACCCTAATGAATCTTTACCCTAGCCTTCAATAACTGTCCACCTGCAGATGTGGTCAGGCCTGAGCTACGATAATAACCTAAGATAATAACCTGGGGGCCACGTGTCACTGGTAACACAGAAGAAAGCAACTATTCCAGGAAGGTCCCAATATTCCTGTGACTGATACCCCTGGTTTGCTAATGCCTTCCCGGACCTGAGAATGAGGAAGCCCTTCCATGCCCCTCACATTCTTTCTTTGCTATATAATATTCCTTCCTTCACCATTGAGGAGACGGTTTCTTTAAAATACTAGTTGCCATTCTCTTGTGGCAAAGCCACATGTTAATAAGGAACTTCCGATGTGAAACAGGTGGCTCGGTCTATATCTGAGCACAAGTAAGGCCACCCAGTTATGTCAGTAATCTCTCTCTCTCTCTCTCTCTCTCTCTCTCTCTCTCTCTCTCTCTGCTTGCTGGGACATGTACGAGACATGTAATTTTCACATCCTAAAAGGAAAAAAAACCTTTTTTCATAGTTCCCTCATTTTTATAACTGTCCTTTCAATTTTATCCATTGCGCATTTCAGCGAAGGTGACTGTGGGGGGGAATATAGCAACCAGAGGCAGAACGCAAGGCTGCTCTGAAGCAGCTAAGATCTGCCCACAACAGCAGCCCAGCAATTTTCTCTGGTCCTCCCTCTGCCCTCTCTCCCTCCTCTTTACTCCTGCTCTCTATCAACTCCCTAATCCATTTTTCTGCCTCTTCTACAACTAGCTTTCTTAACATACCGCCCCGCCAAGGCTAGGAAATGGAGGTTGGGCACAACAGTGCCTTGCTCCCTGCCTGCGCATGTCAGCTGATATAAAATGAATTTCAACTGATATCAAGAAATGTCTGCACTTACCATTCAATTATACTAAATGTGTAAAATTGTGCTTAGGGAGAATCAACCTTAAATTCTGGAAGGGGTTACCCGTGGGGAAGGGAGGCAGAGAAAGGGGATTAGGTGGGAGTCTCAGGCTGTGCTCACTGCCTCTGTGACGGGGGCCATCTTGAGCTGAATGGCGAGCAGTGCTTGTTGTGGCATCATTTATGGCCCTTTGGGTACCTGAAAATATTCCTGTTGTGCACAGTGTGTAGACTAGCGGCTGTACGTGAGGAGGAAGCAGCCGTGCGCCTGGCTTGTTCAACTGTTTGCTGTAATGGCAGCTGAGAAAAGCTGGCACTTGGCGAGATCTTGGGTCCAGGAATTGATTGGAAAATGGGCTCTACTTCATGTGGATTTTTCCACTGCACTTTCCGCTGATGGAAGAGAAAAGCAGTTCAGTTTCCAGAGAAAACGAACTTGTGCACTGGCAGCCTGCAGCGCTGGGGGCAGGGCCTCACCACAGAGCAGCTGCTTTAAACGAGCTGAGCAGACAATAGAACTGTTTGTGGGTATAAATGAGGGGCATCCTGGGATCCCCAAACCTGTCTCGGGTCCTGCTGCACTGCACCCTGGTGCTAGCCCCAGGCCCAGAAGCCAGCCCTGAGGCTGCTTCTCCCACGGCTGCTCTGCCCCCTCCCCCAAGTCCCCTCTCCTTCCCTCCACCCTCAGCTCCACCCTTCCTTCCAGGGGGGGAGGGGGGCAGGGAAACTGGAACCTCCCCTTTCTCTGCGGATGCACTGTTCCAGGATACCAGCCAGGTCAAGGCAGCCCTCTCTTCCTCACTTTCATATTCTGCTTCTCCTGGTAAGATGCGGGTGGCAGTGCCCGGAGGGTGGGCATGGGCGGCTTCATCCTGTGGCCCCTGGTGGGGAGGGGTGGGAAGCTCAGCCAGTGCAAGCCCCCCAGGGGCATCTGGTCCTGGCTTTCCCTCAGGCTCTGCCTCAGAGCAGCACCCTAGGCCCTGTGTCCTGGGGCTCCGGGACTAAGAGTCTGTCCTTGCTGCAGGCTCCTGCAGGTGCCCTCAGGCCTGGGGGCGGGTGGGGTGAGAGAGGCAGAAGATAAGACAAGCATTGGGGGAAGAATCAGAGTCCAGAGGGCGTCTCCTGTCTGTGAGATGCTGTGTGATGGCATCTTCCTGATGTGTGTGTGTGTGCGCGCGCGCGTATGAGGGTGTGTGAGGGTGTGTTAGTGTGTGTGTGAGTGCCTGTGTGCAGATGGAGTGAGGGGGAACCAGAGCATCCTCCTCATGATTTGCGCCCTCAGGATGAGTTGGTTTGAATTCCCTGAATCCTGTGCTTCCTGAGTGGCTCTTGGTGGTGGAGGGCGTCCAGCGCTTCCCCACAGCGGGCGCTGGTGCTTTCCAAGGAAGGATGCAGCCCCCACGTGGACTAACATGCGGCCCCCCAGAGCCACCAACCCTCCCCTAACACGGGTCCATCTGTCACCCCAAAGCCCACACGTGCTCCTCTCCAGGCCGCTGCCCACGGAACCCACACAGCCTGTCTGTCCCTCTGAACCCCCTTTTCCAAGGCGGTGTTGGGGCTGGCTCTGACGTCCCTCTCCTGCCCACAGGTGGGCTCCGGTGAGTGCCGGTCACCTGCTGCGTCATGGCCTTCCTCCAGGCAGGCGTCCTGGCCTCCTCCCTGGCCTCCAAAGTGATGTAGGCAGCAAGTCTGATTAAAGTGGGTGGGGCAGCCTCTGGCAGCGTCCTGGTCGGACTTTCCTCAGTGGGTGAGTGATCCCCGGAGGGGCTTGCTGGGGTGAGGAGGTGGCAGGAGGTGGGGGGAGCCCAGGGTCCGGTATGGGAGGGAGCCCCAGGGAGACCGAGGGTGGCCTCTCCTACAGCCTCCCTGCTCCATCCTGTCCTCCCCGGGGGTCTGCCTGGTCAGAAGGAGGCAAGACTGGGGGGTCCCGGGAGGTGGCCCCCTTCCCTGTGGACCTGGTCCCCTCCGAGGGGGTCTGAGCTGGGGCCGGCGCTCTGGCTCGCGCGCCCAGCTTCACCGGCAGCTCTGAGCTGGGTGCTGCCCACCCGCCCAGCAGCGCTCAGCCCGCGTGTCCCGCCGGAGCCCAGAGCCGCAGCTGCTGTGGCCTGACTCCCGGGTTCAGGCCCGTTGTCGTCATGAGCTCCTGGGAAGCCCCTCCGGGTTCCTGCCCTACTGTGGGTGTCTGCCTCCCGCGGGCCGCTCACCCCACAGTCAGCTCCTTTCCTGTTCCCCGGGGATCCTGCTCACCGACGTCTCTGCCGGGCGGGGAGCCGTGTGGGTGCTCTGGGCGGGCGCGCGGGGCGCCCTCAGCGGAGCCGAGGCCGGTCTCCGAGTCGTGTCCGGGACAGGGAGCTGCTCGGTGCTGGGAGGGCATCGCCCTCTCCCTTCTTCTCTGGGCCGGGGGCCTGGGGCTCCTCCAGCCCCCGCAGCACCAACAGCTGGTGCCTGTGGGCAGGGACCCCCCCCTGCCCCGAGCTCAGCCTCACCCTCCCTCCTCCCTCCTCTAGGGAGCGCCCTGCCATCCCAGGCCGCCCTGACTCAGGCCTTGTCCACCCTCGGACCCTTGCTGGGCTCCCTGAAAGCCTCCCCTGTGCTGGGATCCTCTGCCTCGGCCCTGACAGTGTCCCCTCTGGCAGGTAATGGTCCTGGGTCACTCACCCCTGGGCTTAGCTCAGCCAAGGAAGGGCGCCGGGGAGGTCAGCGCTGTGCCAAGCCCAGTCCTTCGAGTCTGCCAAGATAGGATTCCTCAGCTTGCACAGCTATTGACATGAGGGACCCATCACCTGGGCTCCTGGACACCCCCCTCCCCCCAGGAGTGAGCTGGGAGCACTGAGGCCCCCTGCTGGGACAGGAGGTAGAACACACAGCCCAAGGCTCTGCCTGGAAGAGGCTTTAGGGCCAAGCCTGTCCTGAAGAGTCCAGAAGGGCCAGGCCCCTGACAGGATGGTGGGGTCCCGCAGTCAGGCCGCCAGATGACACCCCCCTTCCCGGCCTTCTGCCTGCTCACCCAGGTAGGCCTTGAGCCGGCCAGCCCAGCCACCCCCACGCCCCGTCCACAAAGCGGAGCAGCAAACTCTTCTACCTGCCTTCTGAGTCCTGGCTCCAGCAGGCCGGGGACCCTCTGTGCTCTGGGTGGTTGATGCTCACACCCATCTCTCCTTCCCCCACCACCACCCCGGGGAGTGGCTGAGCGCCTCCTTCTGTGCATGGTGGGGAATCCTGACCCACGGGCCCATCTACAGGTCGTTTTAAGATGACCAGATTGTCCCTCCCCACCATCCCGCCCCAGCTCTCCCCTCCCCCAGTGTGTGGGTCTCAGGCTCATAAGCACCTTAGCGTGCTCCAGGGCTGTGTGTGGCTTCAGTCAGAGGGATAAGCACGAGTCTGATTGGGAAACTCTGGGAAGGCTTCCTGGAGGAGGGGCTAGGGATCCTGCCCTCCTGTGTTCACTCCCAAATCATAGTAGGTGATAGAATCGGAGTGGAGGGGAAGCCAGTGTGATCCATTCACAGAAGCTTCCTTTGTTTTCCAGCCAAGGCTGCTGCAGCTGCGCTTGGAGGAGGTGAGTATCTGAGGGATGGGGCTCTGAGCCCCGTTTGGGGGAGCCACGGGCCTTGTCCATGCCCATCTTTGCTCCAGGCCTCATGGAGGTGGTCAGGGGGGAAGGAGATGATGGAGACCAGCAGGTGGCCAGGAGTGGACCCAAGGGCAGGGAGGCGAAGCCCGGAGTGCCATGGAATCTGCCGTGGAGGCGGTACTGCAGGGCCCAACTGCTCTGACATAGCCTGTGTGACCTTGGCTGTGCCCTTGAGCTCCTCTGAGTCCTGCTTCCTCCCCTGAAACACCACCCCTATTGCCCAATCAGGGTCATGGTGAGGCTCCACGGCCAAACTGGGCACTGAGCATGAAGGTGGTGGGCGTCAGAGAGACGCCATAGCCCGGAGACCTGGGTCCAGGGCCTCCCGAAGGTCTGTCGTGACGCCGCGGACCCCGGGTTGGCTCCAGCTCAGAACCTGGTCCTCCCTGACACTAGGCCCCTGGGAAGACTTGCTGGTGGTAAAGGTTCTGTCTGTGAAGCTCGAAGCTTGCACACATGCAGGTTCCAGCAGACACGAGGCCACGAGGGCTGGCGACTTTCCCTAGGATGGTCGATCTGCAGACGGGAGCCCGCCCAGGGCCCAGGGATCCCCAGTCACCCCTCTGCTTCCCCCCTCCCCGTGGCCATGCCTGTGGCCTGAAGTCCAGTGTGCCCCTTTCCAGTCCTCCTGGGTCCTCAGGCTGGACTCCACGTGTGTGTTTGGCAGGCGTGGTGTGAGTGTTGCTTCCCCTGAGCCTCCCATGGACACAGCTCCTGTCTCCCCAGTTGTGTCTGTGGCGGCTGCACCTGCGGTCCTGAGCGCCGTGGGCTTCACCAGCTCCGGAATCGCTGCGTCCTCCCTGGCGGCCAACATGATGTCTGTGGCGGCCATCGCCAACGGGGGTGGAGTGCCGGCCGGCAGCCTGGTGGCCATTCTGCAGTCTGCAGGTCAGTGTCCTCGGGCCTGGCTGTGGAAAGCGAGGGGTACAAACCTCAGAGGGTCCAGGCCCCTTCGGCGGCCCTGATGCAGTCTCTCACCCTGTCTCTCCCCCTGCTTCCCTCTCTGGGTTTTTCTGAGGGACATCAGAGCAGGTGGCGGCGCTCTGGCCTGGGTGTGTGCAGGTTCCGGCCCACCCGGCCCAGAGCAGAGAGGCTGGGGGTCTCTCCCCCCACCTGGAGTTCTGTCTTCCCCCCCTGGAGGCTGATGCAGCTCCAGGTGTTGCTTTCACAGGGACATTTGTGGGTTTTGGGCCTCAGAGGAAGGTGCTGGGTGGGGGCATGTGAGCTAGCTCTGTCCTCATCGCTGCACTGACCACCCGATGCTGTTCTCCCTGTGCTTGTCCTCAGGGGCAGCTGGACTCTCCCTGTCGTCCAAACTGCTGCTGGGCTCCACTGGCTCTGCCCTTGTTGGTGGCGCTGTGATGGCCTTGTAACAGCTCCCTGGCACCCCCTGCAGACAAGATGCTGGAGGAGACCTGAGGCCAACCTTGCACAGCAAGGCCCCAGCCACAAGTAGGGGCCCATCCTGCTCACCATGTGTCCTCGCTGGCCCTAGGAAGACCAGCAATAAAAATGGCTCTGCTACCCTCCTGGACCTTTCCTTTCTTGCTCACAGTTCAGCTGACTTTTCTTTACCAACCACGTGTCACACGCATCAGTGAGTTGGGGGGTGAGGAACACCTGGTGCCCAACGGGAAGCCAGGAAGCCAGGAAGCTGCCCCTCCCCAGCTTCTGGCTGTCCGGTTAACCTGGCAGATCGCCTCCCTCTGGGCCTGCGTTTGATCAGGGACCCAGCCAGGCTGGGTGGCTCCGATCCTGCTGAGGGACTGGCTGCGGGCTTAGGCACCACTTGCCTCAAGGACACAGGTGCTCCTTTACCTGGCCCCACGCTCACCCCACACCAGCGCCCAGCGTGGTCCCTCAGTGGCCTGGCTCAGGCTAAGAAAGCCCAGGCCTGAGCCATCACTGCCCCACCGCAAGGTGAAGTTCACTGCCCGCCCTGGCTGTTTGTCCTCAAGGCCAGCAGGGAAAGTTCCTTAGACCCTGCAGTGTCTCGGACGCCGTGGGAGTGTGTGTTTAACACTCCTTTCTGGCGCCGTAAGCTGCCGCCCAGGCATTTTGTGTGTTTCATGTTCCAGTCTTGGGGTGGGGCCCGGGGTCCTTCTATGGCAGCTTGGGATTAGACCCCGCCAGGGAGGGGTGTTGTTGTTACTGGGGTCTCCTCACCTCTGGCCCCTCTCGGGTAGAGAGCAAGGAAGCAGGTCTGTGTCCTCCCCTCGCAGGACACACTCGGGAGCAGCAGAGCCGCCTCCAGGCCGCGTGTTCTCTGTGGCGTGACCTTGGCAGTGACCTCTACTCTCCCAGAATGAAACTGGCAGATCATGTCACCCAGTTAACACAAGATACTGCCCAAACTGCAGTACAAAACAGAGGTACAGGAAGTTACTTGAACATAGAATAGTGTGTATTTTGCTAAGGATGTGCCCCCGATGGTTATACCAGATTCTACCAGAAAACCCTGTGCCCGTTTGCTTTTCTCTTTGAGGCAATAGTCATTGAAAATCATCAACATCAAAGAAACAACCTAATCTCGAAGCTCAAAGATCTAGAAAAAGAACAACAAAAAAACCCCAGAACCAGTAGAAGAAAAGAAATAATAAAAACCAAAGCAGAAATAAATGAAATTGAAACTAAAAAAACAATCCAAAAGATCAATGAAACCAAGAGCTGGTTCTTTGAAAAAATAAATAAAATAGACAAACCCCTAGCCAGGCTCACAAAGGAAAAAAGGGAGAAAGCACAAATACACAGAATCATAAATGAAAGAGGAGAAATCACAACGGACACAGCAGAAATCAAAAGAATAATCAGTAACTACTATGAACAGTTATATGGAAACAAGTTCAACAATCTAGAGGAGATGGACAAATTCCTACAACTCTACAATCACCCAAAGCTAGATAAAGAAGAAATAGAACACCTAAACAGACCAATTACAAGCAGCGAAATTGAAATGGTAATTAAAAACCTCCCCAAAAACAAAAGCCCAGGACCTGATGGATTTACAAATGAATTCTACCAAACATTCAGAGACGAATTAGTGCCTATCCTTTACAAACTCTTCCAAAAAATTGAGAAGGAAGGGACAATACCAAACACGTTCTATGAAGCCAATATTACACTAATACCAAAACCGAATAAGGACAACACAAAAAAGGAAAACTATAGGCCAATCTCCCTAATGAACACTGATGCAAAAATCCTCAATAAAATTTTAGCTATCAGAATCCAACAATGTATCCATAAGATAATTCACCACGACCAAGTTGGATTCATTCCAGGGGCACAAGGATGGTTTAACATCCGAAAATCAATCAACGTTATCCAACACATCAACAAAAAGAAATATAAAAACCATATGATAATATCAATAGATGCTGAGAAAGCTTTCGACAAAGTGCAACACCCATTCATGATAAAAGCCCTTGAAATTCTTGGGATACAAGGAACATACCTCAACATCATAAAGGCCATCTATGACAAGCCAACAGCCAGTATCATTCTCAATGGTGAAAAGCTGAAAGCAATTCCATTAAGATCTGGAACAAGACAAGGATGTCCACTCTCACCACTGCTTTTCAATATAATACTGGAAGTCCTAGCCAGAGCAATAAGACAAGAGAAAGACATCCAAGGAATCCAAATAGGAAAAGAAGAAGTCAAACTATCACTATTTGCAGATGATATGATAATATACATAGAGAACCCCAAAATCTCCACAGAAAAACTAATTCAACTCATCAATCAATTCAGTAAAGTGGCAGGATACAAAATCAACACGCAAAAGTCAGTAGCCTTCCTATACACAAACAATAAATCTGAAGAAGAAGAAATCAAAAAAACCACCCCTTTTATTATCGAAACAAAAAAAATCAAATATTTGGGAATAAATCTAACAAAAGAGGTAAAGGACCTATACAAAGAAAACTATAAAACACTGTTAAAAGAAATAGAAGAAGACACAAAGAAATGGAAAGACATCCCCTGCTCATGGATTGGAAGAATAAACATTATTAAAATGGCCATCCTACCAAAAGCAATATACAGATTCAATGCTATTCCAATCAAAATCTCAATGGCATTCTTCAAAGAAATAGAACAATTATTGATGAAATTCATATGGAATCACCAAAAACCCCGAATAGCCAAAGCTCTACTGAAAAAAAAAGAAGGAAATGGAGGCATCACACTCCCAGACTTCAAACTATACTACAAAGCCATAATCATCAAAACTGCATGGTATTGGAACAAGAACAGACATACAGACCAATGGAATCGAATAGAAAATCCAGAAATAAACCCACAGATTTATGGTCAACTAATCTTTGACAAAGGAGCAAAGACTATGCATTGGAGCAAAGAAAGTTTGTTCAATAAATGGTGCTGGGAAAACTGGGTCGCTACATGCAAAAGAATGAAGCTTGACCACTACCTCACACCATACACAAAAATCAACTCAAAATGGATTAAAGAACTAGACATAAGACCTGAAACCATAAAATACATAGAAGGAAATATAGGCGAAACACTACGGGATTTGCATATCAAAGACATCTTTACAGACACATCACCCAAAGCAGTGATAGTGAAGAGAAAGATAAACAGCTGGGACTACATCAAATTAAAGAGCTTCTGCACAGCAAAAGAGACAATAACAAAAACAAAGAGAAACCCCACCAACTGGGAGAACATTTTTGCACCCAACACTAATGATAAAGGACTGATCACAAAAATCTGCAAAGAGCTGATGAGACTCAGCAACAACAAAGAAAATAATCCAGTCAAAAAATGGGCAGAAGAGCTAAAAAGAAACTTCTCTGAAGAGGAAATGCAAATGGCCAACAGACATATGAAAAAATGTTCAACATCACTTGTCATCAGGGAAATGCAAATCAAAACTACCATGAGATACCATCTCACACCAGTGAGAATGGCACATATTAAAAAAACTAGCAACAACAAATGTTGGCGAGGATGTGGAGAAACAGGAACTCTTGTGCACTGTTGGTGGGAGTGCAAACTGGTCCAACCACTATGGAGAGCTGTGTGGAGATTTCTGGACCTACTAAACATAGAGCTTCCATATGATCCAGCAATTCCACTCCTAGGTATTTACCCAAAGGACACAGAAACATCAATTCCAAAAAGCACCTGCACTCCTATGTTTATAGCAGCACTGTTTACAATAGCTAAGCTTTGGAAACAGCCCAAATGCCCAAAAATAGATGACTGGATCAAGAAGATGTGGTACATATATACCATGGAATATTACTCAGCATTCAAAAAAGATAAACACATGCAATTTGCAGCAACATGGATGGCACTGGAAGGGATCATGCTCAGCGAAATAAGCCAAAAAGAAAAAGAAAAATACCGGATGGTCTCACTCATAGCAGGAATCTAGAAAACTTAAATAAGGGACCAGGAAAATCAATATAAGAAAGTGAAAATCAAAATCAACAAAAAACTATGAACCAGAGACACTTTTTGGGGGGGGGGGGGCGGGAGGGGAAGGATTGGGGTCAGAATGGGGCGTTTGCAATTGTATGGGGGAATATAAAAATAAAATTTAATATTTAAAAAAAAAAAAAAAATCATCAACACTGTTACCCATTGGGTCCTTCTGGAGCAAACGCTTGAGGAGACAAAGATCTGTCTCTACCGAATGAGAGTCACAAACGCTGACTGGAGATCATGAGTGACTTGCTACTGGCGCCATGATTTTGTGAAGTGGCAAATTCTGGTACAAAATACAACGTGAGGGGTTTCTCCCCAGCCACCTAAGTAGTTGTGGGTCACCCATGGGTGCCTGTAGCAGCTCAGCTCCCTCCGGACCGTCTGCCCGAGGCAGCATGAGATCCCTGCCCAGTGCTCAGCCCACAGCCCCATCCCTGCCCGCCCCGTGGCCAGCTTCTCCCCGGGGCTGCTGCCCCACGGGCTGGGAGTCAAGGCTCTGAGACCCTCCTTGGCCAATTAATTTGCTAGAGCGGCTCACAGAGACTCCGTTTATTCTCCAGATTATCAATTTATCACAAAGGATGATCGAGGATACAAATCTGCCCCCAGCTGAAGGGGTGAAGACACACAGAGGATGAGGTTCCAGACAAAGGCGCGTCTCTCTCGGGGTTTGGGGCCCTGAAGATGGCGCGTGGACGCATTTGGGTCGTTGTCCCAGAAACCCTCCACATTTCATTTTGGGATTCTAGGAGGCTCCACTGCATGGGAATGATGGATGAATTCATTAACTGGTGGTGACTGACTCAACCTCGGAGCCCTGTTCTCTCCCAAGTAACCAGGGGACCCGCCTGAAAGTTCCCACCCTCTCCCATGTTTGGGGTATTTCTCCAAGGCAGGCCTCTCACTTCATCTCAGCCGTGGGTGGTGGTTGTGCAAGCCCCCACCAGGCAGGTCACTATGGATTCAGACAGGCAGATAAAGGAGAGTCCTGGAGCCCCCGGTGTATTTTCCAGGTTTTAATGCTCTCAGGGTACCAGGTAGACAGGCACACCAGGCAAGGAGGCTGGCACGCAAGGAGGCAGGCACGGGCCGGGGAGAG